TCATTTATTTTTAATTTTTTTAAAGAAATCCTTGGGGTATTATAAAACAAAAAATGACAGCCAAATAGTTTGAAAATTGGCTGTATGTATATTTTATTATTCGTCCTAGCAAACGCTCCAAAAAATTATTCAGCCTTATTGGTGAGAAATAAAAAAAAATAAAAAAAAATACACAGAGAACAGCGCAGAATCCGAAATAAAGCGCACGAACTCCGCGCAAACGAGGGCGACGGTCAGCTGACGTCAGTCGGGGGGGTGGAACCCTGTACACATAAGGGGTGGCCACACAAGTACACGATAAAACCTCGCTCGGCACACGCGTGACCCTCGCAATGGGTCAGTAGATCAGAGGTGCGCGGCCCAGGCGCACCCGCAGCGCGTAAAGGCCTCCACTCTCTCTTGAAGCGAGCACCGGGGAGGTGGAGGCCCCACAGCGACCGGGGCCCCATGCCCCTTGGTGACCTTATACATACGGGGAAAGCTCGGCCGAGCGACCGCTGTCTAACAACTCCCTGGGATGGCCCTGATAAGGTGCTGCTTCGAGGCCGAGGCACCAGACTTCTTCGAGTCCGCCGTGAGCAAGTGCACCGACCCAGGATGTAAGTCTCGACACTCGTGTCTCAACAATTTAATTACATACACATGGCTGCTGGTCCCCCCACCCCCTCTCTCACCTTTTCCTTTTTTTATGTTGTATCTCTAACGAGCCCTTCGCTTGCAACCCCCAAAAGTGATAACGCGCACACCACGTTGTATGCGTGTACACCTATATCGATCGATTGGACTCTCTGCTTTGACATCCACCCTTACACTCCCCTATATTGATATATACTGTATAGTGGGTTGTTGGTTTAGCGCTTTTTTCTCTTCTCCCGCGCCGCTACCCTCTAAAGAGCTCTATATGTCCGTATAGATGTATATGTTTAGATGTACTTGTGTGGCCTCTGTGAAGCTCTTTATTAGCAGTCAACCCAATTGCTTCCGGCTTATTTTGCGATCGCGATCATCTTTTCAGGTGGAGTTTAGATTGTCGAGTGCTTTGTTGGCATTTTATCATACACAACACTTGCTCTTTCATTGCGTGTTCGAGTAGGAAGATTTTTATCGTATTCGTTGGTCATTTTCAGCGAATTTTTCTTATCAAAATAACAGTCACAGCATTGTTTACCCAAACAAACAATTTTAATTAATGATAAAATAGAGCGGTTACTTTGTAAAGTGTCTTTTTGCCATTCTTTACTGTATCTGACAAATATTCCCTTGAGCAACTGCGTTTCAAGTGAATTTGAATGATTCGTTGATGAGCTCTAAAATAAAATGTTTTGCCTATTTGTAGGTCGGAGCAACAAGTATTAGTCTGCCACATACTCGGTTATATTTTTAACTCTTTTTTTTACATTATAAAATACAGTTGGTACTTTTTTTTTTTTTAAGAAATTAAAAAATTGTTGGAAACTTTTTTTACGTCACAAAATAAAGTGGATTTGTATACATTTTTTTTAAAGAAGTTAAAAAATTGTAGGGAAATTAAGCCGGCCATCCGCCGTCTGGC